TGTCTGCTTGCCCCTTTATATTTTGCTGATCCTTGCTTTCACTCTTCACACCCACATCTTTCTTCCCAGCTTTGTCCTGGTGATTGCCTCTTCTCTTCTTGGCTGGCTCCCACTGTAGCATCTCCTGGACCACATCCGGGCTGTCCGCCTCCTCCCTTACTTCCTTCCTTTGCTGCGGTTTCTCCACCTTTGTCTCGTTCACCGTCTTCTGGCTGCTTTCTGCAGCAGCCTGCGTTGTGGAGGAGGAAGATGAGCTGGGCGTTAATGTCGATGACGATTGTTCCTTTTTCCCCTCTTCTTCGTCAACTTCTTCCCGACTCTTGATCTTGTTTGTTTCTTGGCATCTCCTGTATTGGCTTTCCCTTTCGCTGCAGGTCTTTTGCTTTGCTTCTCCACGTCATCGATTTCCATGCCAAGACTTTTGAGGAGGTTCATTCTTCGGTGCTATCCGGTGCTTGCCCCCGCGGGCGGCCCTTATCATGGCTTGTAGCACCTAGAATGAGCTGTCTTGATTGCTCCACTGACTCTCACAAGCAAAACATACGGCTTCATCTCCCTTTGGCATCGCTTCCTCCCTAACACTCTCTGCGTCATCTTGCCGCACCGTCGATGATGAAGATGCTGAAACAGGTTGCTCCTCTCCGGCTCGCATTGTCAGTGGTGTCTGTCGCTGAGTCCATCGAAATTTATCCGAAAACACACCTTCAAGACACCGAGCTCGCACGTTAGAAACTAGAAACCTGCACAACCTTCCAAAAGAGGCCTCAAAAAAGACAACTCCCTAGAAGTTTCCACAGTTCGAATTTATGCATAGGATCCAGCGCGATGCAGGGGTCTATCTATCCGACACAATTTAACCCCTCACCCTGTCACCCTTACGTAGATTTCCTGGCTCTATCAAGGAACCATCGAATCGAATGTTGTTCTGCCACCTATGCTCCCTTTAACCTTTAGTTCTCCCTCGGGGGGCTTGCCATCCTCTCAGCCTGACTTGAGACAAATTGGTCACGGGTCGTTCTGTCTCCCTGTCTATGTCTCTTTATTCTGTTCTGTCTTTCTTTCTGTCTTTCTGTGCTGCTTGCATTATTTCTTTCTGTCTTGCGTGCCTTCTTTCTTTCTGTGTTTCTTGCTTTCTTTCTTTCGTGCCGTTTTGCTGCCTGTCCCTTCTCACTATCTGCTCCTTTGTTTGTTCAATACTGGAATGTGGTTGTCATGTTGATGCCTTTTTGTTTTTGATGCATATTTGTCAAAATGTATCTTTTGTTTTTTGACCCCTCGCCCTCTTGATACGGGGATCAGTTGCTTGTATTAACCCCTGTCTCCCGCGGTTCTGTGCGGTGTTGGCACGTGTGGTCCGCAGGGGTGCTGTTTCGTGACTATCAAGTCTGGTTTGGGCATGCTCGTTCTTGCAGGTAGTTAATCGATCAACGGCTGCAAGCATGACTGCATCTTTTTTCTGGGAGCAATTGTTTTCTGAAGCAAGCCTTCTTCCGGTAGGTTTTGAAAAACGATGGCAGTTACCAGGATTGATACCCGCCATGCCTCTAACGGTTGGCATGTCGCGGGTCATAGACTACGACCTGCGACATCAACAACGATGACAGTTACGAGAATGGTGCCCCCTCCTCGAAAACAAGGACAGTTACGAGGATCGCGAGCTTGACACCCACTTCCTGTGACTGCTGGCACATTTTTAAGATCCTGGACATCAAAAACGAGGACAGGCCTGAGCTGAAGGTCAGGAGACCATACAAGAGGGGGAGGGGGGATGGGGGCGACCGCAGAGTGCACAACCATGTATGTACGTACGTATGTATGTATGTATGTAGGTAGGTATGTATGCATGCGTGCATGTATGTATTCTTGAAGATTCCTATTCAGTCTGGTGGAGACATCAAAAACTAATTGTACATAGTTGTATCAGCAAAGAAGCGCCATACATCTTGATACAATGCTAGGCCCGTACAGCTTTTGCGGCTTGTACCCCGTTCCAGCCCATCATCCCACCCGCGCCCTTCAACTTATACGGTTTGTCTTGCTTCCTGTTAACTTTGCGTTAACTTTGCACAGCTTTTGCAAATTGTTTGAGTACAGCCTTGCACAACTTTGCCCCCCTAGCCCTCTACTCCCCAAACCCCTAATGCATCCTAATACCGTCCCGTTTCACGAGCCATCAGCGAGAAACAACACTATAAGTCTACATCCCAAACCTTCAAAGCCCGGCGATTAGGATCGATTACGGACGCGTGTCAAGACTCGATGGTGCGGGGGGCTCGGTGGGGTGTATTGGGGAGGGCGTGGGTGAGGGCTTGGGTGATGGAATACGGCAACAAGTCGTACGAGCTTAACAATGAGCTGTACAAACTTCGAAAGCTTTTTTTCTGACTTCTCGACCTATCGACTTTTCGAGATTTGTTCGGTTTTTCAGGCCCTTGAACTTCCCGACATTTGGAGGATTCTGGGGACTTTTTGATTTTCGACTATTGGGGACCCTCGGACCTTGCGACTTTTCAACTTTGCCCGCCACATGGCTTGAAAAAGACTTGTCGACTTTTCGCACCATTTTTGTATGCCTCCGCCTAAATCCATCCGCAGGCCTTCGCAGCCACAGACAACTCTTCCCATTCAAGATCGCCCAACAACGCATGAGAATCGGACCTTATTCGGCCAACGGATGCGGTGCTAGAGGCATTGGAAGGCCGCCTGACAATGCAATTCCAGGTCCACACGCATACCTTAACTCTGCCCTCACTGTTGTCAGGCCCTCTACAACGTCTTGTTGCAGATGGTGCTTGCCGTCCACACAGGAAGTCAGCTGGGCAGAGTCAGCCAATCCCGAAGCGCTGGCCTTGCTTGGTCCATGTTGGAAGCAGCGGAGGGTCGCCTCATGACGACGTCACCACTTCTTCATTTCTATACTGTTTGTTTCCGAAACCTAAGGCATCCACCGAGAGCCCGAACTTTGGCGAGCATAGGTGGAACCAGGAAGCTCCTGCAGCTGCCCAATTAAGTGCTCTAAATTCGAAGAAGTTCCAGTTCGGGAGGGCAATTATGTGGGCCACGGGGAGCAGTGGGATTCCGCTTCAGGCCCAGGAGGGCAGAGTTTGGTGCGGGGGGAGTCGGGTTGGGGATTGTGAAGGCAGGTTCAAGGTCATGTTCAGGTCGGGGTTTGAGTTTGAAAGGGCAGGTCAGGTCTTGGATTCACCCAGCCCACCACCAATAATGGTGACCACCACCACCGCGGCCGCCGCCACCGCCCCAACCCACCACCACCGCCGCCTCCACCACCACCACCGCTGCCGCCGCCAGCGCCAGCGCCACCACCGCCGGAGCTGCCGCCAGCAGCAGCAGCGCCAGCTGACGCCAGCACTGGCAGGAGCAGCAGCAGCAGCAGCAGCAGCAGCAGCAGCAGCAGCAGCAACAACAGCACCAGCACTAACAGCAGCGCAGCAGCAGCGGCGGCAGCGGCGGTGCCGGCGGCGGTTGGCGACGGCGGCAGCAGCAACAGAAACTCATCAGCAGCACTCCTACTCCTTGTTTCTAGTCCTAGTGCTACTACTGCTTCTGCTGGCACAACAACTGCTGCAGCAACAACACCAACAACACCAACACCACCACCACCGCCGCCGCCGCCGCCACCACCACTGCTGCTACTGTTATTGCTACTGCTTCTGCAATCCCATAGCATCAAGCTCTGATTCTGCTTGCCACAAGTACATGTGCATAGACAACACGGATTTCGTCACGGATGATATTGGAGGTCGATTTTAGGGAAGCTGTTTCAACAGTTTTCTCGTGCTGATGTGCGCGTGAGGCCGCGGTAGGCGCATGTTACGTTGAAACCCCAACAAAGCCGTCGGTTGGACAGTGACGAAAAGGGTAAGACAATCCAGTCGCCCATAATGAATTGTGTGCTCGGCCAAGGCTAAGACTCATATTTCACGCGGGCAGTGGAGGCGCTCGGGTTCAGGCTTGGCTTTGCCTCTGACAGGACGTCAGGTTCGGGCGCGGAAAGAATGTCTTTTTTGGCAGGGTTGGGGTTCGGCTAGGGCTCGTACGAGTAGTAGACTCCATCCAGGAATTCAAGCCTACAGGCCTACAAGTGCAAAACACCGAAGCGACTCCAAGCAACTCCTCGAGGTTGTCTGCTTGCAGGTCCGAGCTGCCAATGTCTTCCTTCCACTTGTTTCATGTCACTCAACAGGCTTAGTTGCACATTTGGCACTTAACGCGGCAATATGCGCCTTTATGTACCAGCACTCCATGATGAATCAGATGAGGCGGTACCAGCATTTCAAATTACCAGCCTAGTTTTGATACAGCTGGGCAGACATAGCTGCCACATCTCTGTGAAAACTTGGCTCGCCTTCGAGCGAATCAGTGCCCGCTCCCAAAAGCGCTCATTGCTTGGCAGGTGCTCCTTGGCGTGGTTGGGATGTCGCTCGGGTCTGGGATCGTACTTCAACGATCTGCAAGGTCAGTGTGGTGTCCATGGCCGATGTTCAATCTTGCCACGGTTGACATGACAGCATTTGCAAACAGCCGGCTCTTCGCCGAGCTTGCCTGAAGGTGGCCGAAAAAGGGCTGACGTATTGTTGCGCTGTTGGCATGAATGGGCACAAAATCTCAGTGGGTCGGACCCTGCCTAACACAATGAGCTTGCGGACCTTGTGCATCTCTATCACAAGCCCCAAGTTGCTGTTTTGCGGCCCAGCTTGGACTCCATCCATCCATGCATCCTTGCACCCCTGCATCCATACATATCACACCTATGCATATATGCATCCACGCTAAAACTCATACATTAACACATTCATACATTCCTACATACATACCTACATAGCTTCCTACATGCATATATCTTTGTGTCATGCACCTGTTATCGAAATGACGTTTCATGCCTCCTTGGGACATTCCGAGAAAAATCGAGCACTTCACATGACACCTTTACGCATCAAGCAAAAAAACAGCGCATGTCTCCACAGCATGCGAATTGTGTCCAGCGTGGTCCAACGTCTTGCAAAGCGGCTGCATCGTTGTGAAGCGTCTGCACTTGCGAGGCCTCATGACAACATCTCATCCCGCAACAATCACTAGGGCTCGGGGAATGCAATTGAACCGAGACAGTCAGAATTCAATATGTTAAGGCCCACGGTTTACAGTCCCAAAGCTGTTATCAAGCGTGCAATGCAACAACGGTAGGGCTAAACTACAGAACCCTCTGTCAACCCCACAGTTATGCCATTCGCTAGCATCAGTGCCTTTGGCGTGCTGCCTTCCATGGGTCTCACGCTGCGATCTTCCTTGGATATGCGGCCAAACAGAAACATCCGCAGGCTGACTGCAGCTGCGTTGGCTAGCTCGCACATGTGACCAATGACAATGTCTCAAACAAAAGTCTACGCTTCGAGTTCAGCATCAGCATGTGAAATTTCGTGCACGCTCGGGTCTGACAGGCGCGAGGGATCATAAACCTAGACAAACATCAAGCGCAAACATGCTCAAACTATAATAGCGCAACTTGAATGAGGAAGCCGTGGACAGAGCAGAAGCCACGATTCGGATGTCTTCGCAGACCCAAGCAGCGCGCAGAGCGCAACTCGGAGGTGCTCGGGAAGGTATACTGATTGTAAAAGCATAGCCACTCGTGTCAAGATACCTCTACTTGCACAAGAACAATACCCAAAATATGTCAAAATATTACGTCAATGCCGGCCCCCTTAATGAAAACGACTTTACCAGAAGGGCTTTATGTCCCCTGCAAGCTTGAGGAAGCCATACTCCTGTTATTCCATAATAATGATGATGATGGCAATAACAAAACTAGTCATAATCGCAACTGAACTGATACTGATAGAATTTTGGTAGTAATAATAGTAGTAGTGATGCTTCTAATTATACCAGGTGTATTGACTCTAGTCATCAGAATAACAGCCACAGCACTGATCATATCGACCATCAAAAAATGTATCAGTGTTGGAGCTGCAAAAATTGGACTGGGACGAGGCAACGAAGGATCCCAAGATAGCAAATGGCAACACCCGTGCCACCGTGTGCTTCGACATGTGCCGTAGGCAACACGCGCGGTGCAAAGACACGATTAATCACTCACCTTTAGTGCGTCCGAGGTCCGAACGTGCTGGGGCTGGAAGCCTGTTCACACCCCCCAGGCGTGTCAGCGTAGCGGAGTACGCGCTCAACTGGCACTGCAAAGGAAAGCTTTAAATGTCTCTCTCTACCGGGACTCTACCGGTCCTTTGCGGTTTGACTGCCTTCCAGCGTATTAAAAATCATACGTGACACTGAAATGGCAGCAGTTTTTGCTAGCAGACTTGTAACAAATCTTCGCCTGCACGTCGCACCGAGTTGCAAGCATTACACATGCGAGGATGCCAAGCGTTACCCCGGTGTCACACAACGTCTTTGATGTTGACATAATTCCCCCCCTTATTGGGGGGGCGGATAATAGGAATGATTCCTATTTCCAGGTTTTCAAATAGACGGGGGGGGACCCCCCCCATCCGAATAGACTATGTATACGAATGCGATTTTCCAGTAGATAGCAGCAGCGTTTTTTTTTGTGGTAGGGTCCGAAATGCCCCGTGAACGCAGGCCCCAGGTCACGTCATGCTGCAGCTCTGCGCTTGCAACACGGGCCCCCGCGCATTTGTTTCTATTTTGGTGTGGCGGCTGCTATTTTCCATGCATACACAGGGGGCTCAGAATGATCCTAAGCACCGTCTAGTAGCGGTAGAGTACGAAATGCCCCTTTGAACGCAGGCCCCAAATTTTGTCGTTCCCTTGCAGCGCTGCGCTTGCAACATGGTCCCTCTGTTTTTTTTCCTCTTTTGGTGTTGCGGCTGCTAGAATTTTTGTTTACACAAGGGATGCTCTCGGTTTATATGGGCCCAGAGCGATCCCAAGCACTGTGTAGTAGTGGTAGAGTACGAAATGCCCTTTGTGAACGCAGGCTCCAGGCCATGTCGTTCCCCGGCAGCGTTGCGCTTGCATCACGGTCCCCCTGTTTTTCTTCCTATTTTCGTTGCGGCTGCTATTATTTTTGCTTACACGAGGGATGTTCTCGGTCTATAGGGGCCCAGAGCGATCCCAAGCACTGTGTAGTAGTGGTAGAGTACGGAATGCCATTTGTGAACGCAGGCTCCAGGCCATGTCGTTCCCCGGCAGCGTTGCGCTTGCATCACGGTCCCCTGTTTTTGTTCCTATTTTGGCTTTGCGTCTGCTATTCTCCGTGATTACACGCGGATACTTTCGCTACGAGAGCCCGACGTGTCCATCCAGTGACATAGTACGAAACGCCCCTTCCACCCAGGCCTTACGCCATGTCCCACGTGCGGGGCGCTGCTTATGCACGGCGCCCCCTGTTTTTTTTTTGGCTGCGCTGCTGAAATTCTCTGTGTGCACAAGGATGCCCTAAGTCTGTAAAGGTACGACATGTCAGGTGTGTGCGGCGCTGCTGATGCACCACGCAACTTTCCATGTCGCCCAGAAACACAAATCACTCACAGTGAGTAAGCAAGACCGCTGAAATAGGAAGAAACTAAACATGATGAGAAATTTCTTCCTAAAACTGACCCCCCCCTGTCCGTTTAGACCAATAGGAAATAGGAAGAAAAGGAGGTACCGTCCCGCCCGCGGAAACAAGACATAGGGGGGGAATTTGACATGCAACAAAATCGCTGCCCTCAACAGCATCCACGCAAGCTTCTTCAGTGGGACTGTTGACGTGGTTGTTGCTACCGTCCGCAACCCGACCTGCGCCACGTCTGGGGTTTGCTGTCCTTTTGCCTTCCCCTTCCCACTCTACTCTTGATCTAGAGGCTCCATGGGAGTGGCTCCTTGTTCGGAGGTATATATGTTGTTCACCCGAAAGAAGCAGAGAAACGGAAAACAAGCCAAAGCAACTCCTCACACCTCTCGCCCAACGACAGGAAGCATTAGAGAAAAGAGCGACCCTGTGCCTGAGGCCGCGGGGGTAACCCTGAGCAAAGTATGGGCCGAAGCCCTAGCTGCAGGCCACGACTATGTCGAAGGTGCTGCAACGCATAAAAGTGGTAGGCTGAAACTCAAGTACGACTAGCTAGCCCAGCTCATGGCGCCGGAAGTGGGACCTGGGTCCCGTCCACGGACGGCTGCCGTCGCAGGATGGCTCTGGCATTGCAGGAGCCAGTCGGTTTTAACCGACGCCGGTTCGCCGGAGATCGTGGCCACCGCTCTGCCAAGCTGCTGCCACTTGACCTTTGGAGTCGGCTTGGCAAAGGCCCGCGGTGCTTGCTTGGCCTCGGGCTTGCTCGCAGGTCCCGCCTTGGTCGGCGCCTTGAACGTGGCCCGGCCCGGCAGGCTTGGGCTCCGCCTGCACTCTTGCGCTTGGCGCACTTGGTGTTGTAGAAGCGCCCCCTGAGGCAGCTGCTGCGCTGCGGGTGCCCATCCCCCAGCACACCCCTCCGCCACCAGCGGGATGAAGTGGATGCCTTCACTAGTGCACAGCTGCTGTGTTTGGAGATGCTGCCGCTTCTTGGCCTCGTAGTTCGCGGCTGGGCGATCCCCCGCGTCAGCCACAGCCGCGGGGTTGCCAGGCCGCATGCCAGAGGTGAGCCAAGTCCAGGACAGCAGGCGCTTTGGACGCCAAGCTTCCAGGACAACGTCAGCAGGGCGGCGGCCCGACCCTCTGGCGGCCACATCCTCGGCTTGCCTCCCCTCATCAAAGCGCGGAGGAAGGAGCCCTGGCTTCTCGAGCTCAGTGTGTATGCCAGCAGCCCGAGTTCGCGCAGCGACCACAGCCCTAAGGCGATTGTGCCGTTTGGCGCGGTCCCCTCCACATGGGCACGCCCTGGCGTGGTCCCCGTAGCGGTCGGCAATGCCGTCGCAGAATGGGCAGTGGGCATCCATAGCAGCCACGGGCAGGCGAAGCTTGACCATGATGCGGAAGAGGGCCGGCTCAACCTTGAGGTCCAAAGCCTCGCCTTCCCCTTTCCTGTTACGGGCCTGCACTGCTTGGGCTTGTTGTTCTTGACTCAGATTCGGCATGTACTTCAGGGGAAAAACATGCAGTGTTTTCTCGGACAGCTCTTTCGATTCCACCACCAAGCTTTGTAACTTTGATACCTTCTGGGCCAAGCTGGTAGCCGTGATCCGTCACCACTCTCAAGGCCTCGGTGAAAGGAGTTGCAGCATTGTCCGCGGCAAAAATGTCCATGGATGATATGCAAGTACTCAAAGTCATGCGTATTGGGGTTAGCAAGTACTGCAACTGAAATCCATGCGGGTGATACTTGCAGCCATGCCTTGTGACAAACAAGTGAAATCAAACACAGGTTGGCAAGTAGAGGTGCTTTCCTGCAACTAGTTCGGCGTTCAGCTTCCAACATGGGTGAACAAGGGATGTCAACCTCATCAAGCTCAACTCTCAGCCGCATGGATTCCGCACCGGGTTTCACCCTAGCACGGTCTTCGTCTGTATGGATAGAAATAAGGATCTCATCTTGATTGAGATGCGCTTCCTCCACCACTCAGGACGGAAAAGGCGGCTGCCGCTAGAGCCAAAACATCTTGGCCGCAGACACATAGCTCGAACCTGTCGCAAAACTCTGATTTACAATCTTCACAGCTGCTTGGGCAACTCCAGGATGGCGGTTTTCACCAGCTGACGTTCTGAGGGTGCTTGATTGCCATAGTTGCCACCCATATTCGAATGCCAGCCGCACCAACTGAAACAAATCTGCTTACTACCTCGTTTTATAGGACTTTAGTTGGGCCGTGAATCTCGCTTTCCAACGACTTGGCATTGAACCACAAACCCATTGATCTCTTACTTAAGTTGGAGGCGACCATCCCGTTTTACAGACTTACGCATGATGCTCAGGACTGCTGACCGGCGGCAGACATGTTTAAAGAGACGGAACTTCAGTCCGTCCGACCTGGAGTCCGTTCTTTGCAGCCCGCAGGCGATGATTGCTTTGGCTGAGGCTGAAGGAACCTAAGAGCTGCAACTTAGGTACCGCATGCAGCTTTTGAAGAAAACCAAGTCCGTGACATAGTATCTACAGAAGTACACAGTCGTGCGCATACCTCTCTTTCTGATCGGCATCTTCGTTGGTTTGCACATCGGTTTTGGTTACAAAAGGAGGTTGAAATTATGGAGGCTGATGGAGCGCCCTCATGCTGCTGGAGTTCCGAGGAGAGCAAGTCGCGCAGCCCTGCTTGATTGACCATGAGCTGAGACAACAAGCTGCCTGCAGCCAAGATTCATACTTCTTGACAACTTTCCAGCGAAAGAAGATGAGGATACCGGCCACAGCCCTAGGATTCTGTCTGGTCACAGATGTTGCCGATCACCATGCGCCACACTTCTCTGCTCGGGGCAACTTCATCCAAGGCAGCAAGTCTAAACTCACAACTCACAGCAAAGAAGCAGGAATCAGCTGGAGTTCTGCCAACTTTCTAACTAAACTTTTCTCAAGTAGCGCTGCAAGCAGCACGATGCCAGCCACAATTCCTGCAAAGCACAGCCAAGCAGAATCGGCTTGGCGCTGGAGTCCCAAGAGGCAGTTTGCTGTGGGCTGTGGCATGGGCTCCTGCCACCGCTCCAGCGCCAAGGCCGAAGTTCACACGCTGAAGCCTTGCCGCGGAATCAAACCCCAAGGAAATTCAAGAAAAAACGAATCCAACGGCACTCTCTACAATAGGAGACCGTCTGTGTCGCTCATGGCTCGCGTCTCCTGAATTTGTCTGTGATTTTTTGCAACAACCGCAGGCTTTTGCCAAACTTGCCTCGTCATGACGTGACCCATCACGCTTGGGACAAAAATGCTACGACCCAGTAGTGGGTGCACGAAATCTGCATCTTGCACAAGCGCACCGCACCTGGTGCCAACTTCTGTGCGGAACGCCCATGTGCCAGCCTGCATCCAGTCACAGTGACCAAATTTTCTATCAAGCCCCGGCACTCTCAGTCATCCAAGGCAAGTGGATTTATGGGATTCGTCTGTTGTCCAAGCACTGTCAAATTGGCGCCTCCAACCCTTTGAATCTGTTGTTGGCACGGTCTACCACCAGACCTGGCATGAGCAACAGAAGCATACCTCAATCATGTGTGAAAACCGTGCTAGCTCAGATCGCTTGACAGTCACAGCGTCAAGTTGCCTTCTGGAAGCTGCAAGCTGTACCTGAGGAGTGCCGAGCTGTTGCAAAAGTCGATGAAGGCAAGGCCAGGTAACCCACGAACATGCCTTCATTGCGTCTTAATGCATTTACATACTATATAGATCCGCCGCGATCTGTACCAAGGTCTAAGGCCTACACCTGCTGGCTTTGTGCACGGAGTGCTGCCGGCCCATAACTTTAACTATCTTCTGCTGCAAGGGCTGCAAGGTCTGGCAGACTGCGATTACAGCAATGTGCTTGAGTTTTATGGAGAAGCTGCGAAACGTCCCCGCGTCCAGCTCCCAAGTCAAAGAAACCTCACCTGGGAGCCTTAGCCGTCTACCACACGTCGACTCGCTTGAGAGGCTTCCTGCGAATGTTGGGGATTTCCCATTAATTAGCGCCATTAATTAGCGCGAAGCGTCCCTAATTTGATCTGTGCGGGTGTCATACGATTTTTCTTCCAAGGCTTGCTGAGCTTTCCCGGGACTGCCAAGCTGCACAGCGTCGTTGTCCAGCTCAATGGCGCTCAAGGAGATCTTGAGGGTCTCCTTGCATGGAAGGCGCAAGACTTTTGCCCTTTGCCATTTCAGCATGTGGCTTGTCCGTGGCATGAAAACAAAGACACGTTCCGGCAGTCAAACCTTCCTCCTCGTGCTTGCTTAGGATACCGCAACCGGCTCGAGGGATGTTGCGATGATTTAGCGATCCCCGGGTGAGCGCCCCCGTTTCAACCCAGGCCCCGGCAATCAACTCCACGGTGTCGGTCATGGTGGCCGGCCTGGGGTACAAAACTGACTCCTAACCATTTTCTGCAAGCAGAGAACTGTTTCATGTGAACGGACCCGTGAATGCAAGGTGCTTGGCAGATTGGTAGCTCTTGTTATGCCACTTGTCGAACAGATCCTACAAGCAACACCTCATGCATACAGACATGGCTTTGAAAATCGTGATCCCCGTTTTCCACGGCGGTCGAGCACAGCTCGACTGCCTCTTGTTTGTTCCCTCGGTCTAGAGAACGTTGCGTTTTTGCTCAACAACTACAATCTCACTGTACGGAGCATATCAAAGTGATCTGAAATGAGAATGCCTGAAACGGAGTGTCCGCTTGCCTTTGGGGATCTGAACTTGGCGGTGCGGACAAAATTTGATTCCACAGAGCAATGCCTGTAATACACTTGCGAGATAGATTGCCAAATGACCATCGAAACTGGCCCAGCCACTGCAATATCACGCACGAACACCGCTTGCACAGGAAGACTTTCTGTGACGCGCGAAAATCGTATAGATCAAACAAATTGCGTTTGAAGCAAGCTTGGAGGACCCAGATTCCAAGACTCCAACACACCCCAAGTGGTTGTGCCAAATGCCAGCCTTTTGCATGAAGCCTTTGGGTCTTCTGAAAAGATACGTGCGGGGCAGGCACTCAGCATTTCTTAAAATGGCAACTGCCACAAAAGCAAACGCAGAACCACCAACGCTGCCCAACAAGAAAACATAAAACAAAGAAGTGCAACGATATTATGCCAGACATCAAAACACTGCTTAGATTGTGCTGCGATCTGTTGTAAAACAGCTCACAACATTGACACATCAGTCCAGAATTTGGCACAAGGCTTACGCCCTTACGCTGCTGAACGATACACCGGGGGCCGGGTGCTAAACAGCTGCCGGTTTGCCTGGGGCGTCATTGCTCCACACACGCAAAGAAGTGCTCTGCATTTTTGTCCTGTCCCCATGGAAGCATCTGCTGCTTTAGCAAACAGAATGGGCCGCAACGGCCGATCAAGCTTTCAGAGTGCTGGCGACCTACAACGCTTTCGTTCACCTAGAGCGGATCTGACGTCGCTGTCGCTGATGATGCAACAGCTTGCATTACTTCAAGAACGAACTGGCGTTGCGGAGAAAGCAAGCATCCCAGCAAAAGTGGACACATGCCTTTCGCAAGGCCCTCAGACATTGGTCCATGCATTCGGAGCTTCCTGTCGAGTATACAAGAATCTTTCACAACGGCGAGATCATGAAACTGTTTGCTAAAGGATGCTCATGCACATGGCAATGGACTATGAGGCGGTGGCTCAGCCTATGGAATTCGATGTAGAGGCGAATCAGGACGTCAACATGCAGTATGACATTGAACACTGCCTGGCACTCTGTTAGATGCAAACGTGCGCTCCAATGCCAAGCCTTATTAATAGCATAACATCAGAGGCGAGCACTGGCATTCCACCCAACGTGTTTCCACGTTAATCTGCCACTACCGCAGTGTCGGATCTGTGGGAGATTTGGAAGCGCCAGAATGCGCTGCTGCCAAGAAATCCCAAGACAACTGTCAAGAGTTTGTGGATCTTGTTCTGCGTGACGAAATTCCCAAGGCCAGAAGCAGGCTAGGCAGTCGGGCACGCAAGAATCAGCCTTCATCAGGGCTGCGACGGAAGTTGGGCTGGTGGATCCCCAACAGCTGATCGCGATGATTGAGCTTGAACAGCAAGCGACCATGGTCAAACAAGCTGACGGAACCAAGATAAAAATAATGTACGTCACAGTGCGCCAAGCTTTCAAGTTGCAGCATTGATTCGCAAGTGCCCCCTTTGGGAGCAGCACTACGCTCAGAAATTTGTCCACGGCCTGCCCGATAAGCCCAAATCTACCAGACACAGAAGCCCAACTCCTCACCAGAAGAAAACCTCACAAGGGCTAAGTTCGACCGAACGCAGTGAATAATCACCTCGCGACCTACATGCAGGAAAATCCTGGCATCCTTGGGTGGAACTAGGGACACACCGCACTTATGGCCCCCCCCACAACATGTCACGAATGACTAACAGTTGTACCAACACAGCATCTGGTACCGTAACTAACAATACAAAACACTCAGCAACAACGGGCAAAATGAGGAAGATTGCCATCTACAGGGCATGGGGAGAAGTGACCTCGTTCCCCAAACATGCGCTTTACATTCTTTTAGCATTCACGTAAAATTCTCGTCGCATCTTTACAGTTGGGCCTTTCAGGGTGCCAAGGCATGTCAATGGCTCAAGCAGCAACGGATGAAGTGATAGTGCTTGATTCCGACAAAGGTCTCGGAGACGTGCTCATGCTTAGGGATTGGGTTGAGAGTGTGCAGCAGTATCTTCTTAATACAGGATTTGGACTCCCCCTCTGCCGGGGAGTGGCAGGGTGGGGTGGTATCATACTTGGGCCTGGCTAATGTCGTGCGGGGGGCAGGGGGGAAGGGGGACTCTTCCTAGCACGATGGGTACTCAAGATGGGAAACTCACTCTTTTGCCCCAGCAGCAGCTAAGAAAACCTCAGGGCCCTCAGAGATGTATCTTTATCAGCCTTCCACTCTTCAAACAGGGGGTTGAAGGCAAACTCCTAGCACCTGCTCACGAAGGCGCTTCCAAACTGCTTCAAAATCCGTAGAAGTTGGGGAACTTAGGGCACCTTCCCGCTTTGTTCAACAGACGTCCCTCAGGACAGCTTAGCTTAGGAGTGGGAGTGGGGACTCGGCTCTTTTCCTGACAGCTATCTTACATAGCATGGACACTCCTCAAATGTGCATCTGAAGTTCTGCGCGCGTTGTCCAGCAATGAGGGGCCTTTCCTAGAAAGACATCAAACAGTCTTTGAAGATGTTTGAAGAAACATTCTGATGACCTGCAGCATGGCGTCAGAAGTCCGATCCTTGTTAGCTTATCCCATGATGTGCAAACAAATGTGTTGAGGCAACATTTTGCAGACAATTGGTTGCATCATATCTAATTCTGCAGTAGCTGTTGCACAAACAGGGCAAGTGGCGAGGGTCTGTTTTCTTAAGCAGCTCGCAGCACAAAGACGTCAATGCAGCACCTAGGTTGCTGAACGAGCCTGAAAGAGCAACGCTGGTGCACCGTAAGGCCATGTGCTAAACAACTGCCCGTGTGCCTGTGGCTTGATTGCTTCTCACTTAAAGACGGTACTGAGTACACCTTCAACAACCTGCACAAAATACTTCACAACAACTGTGCGAGAACCTAAGCGTCAGAAGCTAAGCGAAAGAAACCGAAAATGGGCGCAAGCACTGTGCAAGCATTGGAGCTGCAATACGGTCACGCATGTGCCGGTGTTTCACTCCAGGATTTTTTTGCATGCAAAACGACCGCAAAAATGGTAAGGCGCGTTCCTTCCTTGTACTTAGTGCCGGAATTGGTCACCGGCGTCCTGATTTGGTACTCAGGAGACTTTTCCAGTCAGAAGAGACGGCTGCCTCCAGTTATGTTGCTTCAGAGTCTTTCAGAACGGGTGCCGCGCTATACATGCAAGACCATCTCATCTTCTGTTCAACAACCTATGTGACCAAATGAGTGGTTGCACACTGATGAGTGCCTTTGGTTACGCTGGAGTGGTTATGCAGTGTCCCGCAAGTTGTCCGAAAGCGAAAGCGACTTTGCGCAACACGGACAAGTGAACATCCACTTGTGTGCGTTGTCTGCAGAGAAGGATACAGAACAAAACAGCTGCTTGAAGTACTACAGCCACATCGTGCCATCAAACCGCCGTTTCGGGCCAGGAAGTTGGTAGACAATAGCTTGTACAAGACTTCAAATCGCCAGAAGCCTCATCCCTAAAGCTGAAATCTTAATGGATGGACCTGCAGCCCCTGCCAGAAGCCTGAAAAACGGTATATGTTGCATTTTCGTGCCCACCGCCCAGTAACTCTGCATGGTGGGACAAATAGCCTCGACCGGCCCTGCCTGCATGCTCGGGGGCTCGCAATTCTTCTGTGCCCCCAGCCATAAACAAAAAAAAAAAAAAACTGATCAGGTAGACTCTTGGAAACTGACCCGAATGAAACAGAGGCCCTAGTGCAATCACCTGGTGTTCCCTGCTTCTCTCGAAATATGGACGGCTTTGTTATAGCAAACAGCTTTTGCAAAGAGTTGCTGCAAGAGTCATGGTCTGAGGCTCCTGCAATTTGCCGACCTTTAGTCCAACATGGGCGAGCCGAAGGAACGTTGCAAAGATTACCATGCAAGAGCAACGCTGGACTCTGCAAAGCAATTTCAGAAACGTTTCCTTCGCACAAATCCCAGTACCGCCTGAAGCACTCAGCCGGCATTAATGTGTTCAGCAACAAAAAATGGGCGTGCCACCTCATCATAACGCTCTGGACCACTGTTCGGGTCCAGTCGGTATATTGTTACCTGCTGAAGACAAGGAAGAGCAACACACACGTCTAATGCGTTCACTCTGCCTCAATGTTTTTTCGTCCTGCTGTAGTCCATATGTTCCTATAAATGAAGCATTCTTTGGTGCCAATCTGCTGCCATGCAGAATCATGCAAGCAACAAGGCTTAGCGCACGCTCGCATTTTCTGGGATCTACCAATCGCTACCGCATTCGCACTATGAATGTACTATGCGCATCTCACAGTTCTCAACATTCGATTTTAGCCACCCAGCTCTCTAGGGACTACAGCATACATAAAGACTCAATGCAGATTAACACACGTTTGGCATCACTCTTGTTTTGGCGGTTGACATAGCAAAGCCGTCGTTGAAGTCACAGACTACCACCAAGCTATGTGAGGATCCAACACCAATGCAAAGATACGCTACCCACACAGACAACAAAGATCTCGCAGATCCACACGTAGCCATTCTCAGAGAGGCGCTATGCACAAGACGCACAGTCCCAGGGTTGCGGGTTGCTTTTTGCTTTGCTTTGCTAGGCTCCAACGCTGCAACGCATTGTGAGAGGACATCACTCAGAATCTCAGTGGATCATGAGCGGCCATTCACATGATGGCGATCCGTCTATGGAAACTCGTTTGAGCCCCATTGTTGGCTAGCGTACCGGGAGGTACAAACCTACATTGCACACTGCAAATCACATAGCTACGTTTTGGAAAGAAAAACAGCGTAAACATCCCTAGCAACATCACTAAACTCTCCCAACACAACCGGTTTGACATGATCATCGCAGTAATGCAACTCCCCACTACGGCTATCATACAAAAATCTCTGTAGTGCCCTGATGTAGTCTGGTCCCCCAGGTGCACAGCAAACGCATGTATGGCAGAACTGACATAGTGAACATCAAGCGTGTCCCCACTAAAGGCCGGAACTTGGATTGTTGCATCCTACCTCAAAGCTGTTCTCACTTGGCGGATTGAACCTGAAGCATTGAGCTGTTGGAAGCGGTTCAACCGTATTGCCAGCCATTGGGGAGCCGATCCCAGAGCATGTATAAAAGCCTGCCCCTTCCAGGCGTAGATCAAGTCCTGAAGATTCCAAGGCCCATCAGCTGGAGCATCAAGCGTCAGCATGTTGGACCATCGCCGTGCTTTGGCGTTGGAGACGCGCTCTGCCAACCTCTCAGCTACAGGCGCTGGAGGTTCCTGCTGGCGTTACACTGCTGGTGGAAACTTTGATCCGCAACACGCCCGGTGGAAGTGCATTTGCGGCAAAAAGCGCCCTAGCAAGCCCCATATCACGTGGAACTGTCCAGGCACCAGTCACTTGCGACAGCACCTGAGCCTCCCAACAAATCGCGCCGCCGAGCGCTTGCTGGCCGCCAGTTGCCCACAGAAGCCGCCTGCGCCGAGGTTTGCATCTTGCAGATCAGATGTGAAAAGAACTCGCAAACATCATGTTGTCGGGCACCATGCCGCCATCCTTGCATCAGAAAACCCCATGGGATAAGCTGATGAACCATGAAGGCCTTGCGTTGCGCCAAAGTGACGCGCCAGGCATGCTGTCCCATACCCAAACAAGCTGAGAATCCGTGCATTCAAGCATCCAGGAAATAATATGGACCAAGGAATTCATGTAGCATGTGTTCCCAGCATTGTGTAGCTTTAAGTGTAGGACTGATGTCGTAGAAGCCCACCCAAGTGCTTTGCCAGCCCTTGTCGATGCCGTCGTTCCTGTCGGAGGCGGCTCCGCAGCAGCTTCAGCACCATGTTGTCGCACAGCTTCGCTTCATGAGGTTTTGGAACAAGCGTTCCCTGAATCTCGCACAGAGACCTGGACCGTGAAACAAGCTTCGCGACGCTCCGCCATCATTCCGCACTTAGAGGTCGCGACGCCTGAAACTGAAACTTGCGCAAGGCGCCCCGCATCCGGATGTCGGTAGCGGCGCCCCTTGCCCCGGCCTTTGCCGCGGGATTGCTCCGTCCTGGGCCTTTTGTGTTTCATGGTCGCCTTCGACTCCCCTGACTGCTGCAGTTGGCTCCCTACAGGGAGCAAGTGCTTGAAGAAGCTGATCTCGGCTTCTTGCGCCATCGGAGGAAACCAGCGAAATAAGGATCGACTGAAAAATCACTGGGCGCGCCACAACATGCGACTTGGGGTCTTTGGAAACTGAACCACACAATGTACATGGAACTTGTATGTCTGCCACCTGAGATCTGCTTAGCTTCTCCACCCTGTGTTTGTGAGTGCCCCACACGGCGCTACGAGATTTGGCAAGGTGCATCTTAACTGCTCGATTGGATGCACACCATGTGCCACATAGACAACACCACTGTGCAAGTTTGGGCCTCCAGCGCATATCAGAGGCAAGCCTGCGCCACCCATGTTGCTGAATAATGGTGAGAACCTCAGGCTGCGTAACTAGAGGTGCATCATTTGTCACTGCTTCCGCCGCCGGAGCAACTGTCTCTGCCTTGGATGAGGCCTCCTCAGCAGGCACCGCTGTAACTGAAGGAACCGGATCAGATTCATCAACAGGGTTGGAGCATGCCCCATGCTCAATGTGTTCTTGCAGTCTGGCCCATGAGCTTAGCAAGACGCGACACCCCGAGCATCTGGGCTCACCGTTGATGGAACGCTTTAGGCAATTAAACACTCGTTTGCTGGCTGGGGCATGCTTTGCCGAGATATGCGACCCCAAAACTGTTTGACTGGGAAACTCCAGGTTGCAAAAAAGGCACTGGAGTCGCGTTCGACCAGCTTGCGTGTCAAGCTGAAGCTGCTCACTTAGATTCTGGTGAACCTGCGGACGCCGTTGGCCAAATGTCCTCTTGCGCCTTGACGGGAATGGGGCATTCACTTTCCTGATTCCCTTGCCATCTGAACAGAAGACCCTGCATGTTACGAAGAATATGAGCACCGGGCTCCTCAATACCATCCTGATTGCTGAGGTGAGTGATGTGAATCGGTAACCGAGCAATGGGCCTGAATTGTTTCTGGACTAAGACACGCACTTTCTGAAGGCCATGAGCGTAACTCCGCTTAAGTCCAAGTAGTCCAAGGCATAGTACAGACATGTACCTACACAGGTGGACCACAACCCCAGCCTGGACGCTAAAGAAAGGTTGCTTCTGCTGGTAAGGATGCGATGTAAGCGGCCATAAGCTGCTCTTGGCTCTTGCTGTAGTCAGCCGGCGGTGCACCGTGGCGTCCTCAAAGCTTTCGTGTGTGATTTGTGCCCCCAGGTATCTGGCCTTTACGCATATGGGGAGGAAGCGTTGTTTCCACAGCGCTACAAGGCGAATGTACTTCTTGCCTTGATGTACTTCGAGGAGGTCTCGCTCCCCCCAAGTTTAAGGAGGACCTGGGTCTTGTCATCATTAGCGTTGAGGCCTGCCTGGGTGAGTGTCGCCAGCAACTGTTCAGCTTTGCCCAGAGATGCGCGGAGACCGTGACAGGATTGAAAGGTGTCATGGAAAAATGTGTCATTAGCATAGTAGTCGAGCACCTGATCCGCGTCATCCGCAAAAGTCTGGCGCCGCTTGTCATGTAGCCTGGCCACCACTAAGATGTACAACAACGGAGACAGTACACATCCTTGTCGCACTCCCCCTACAAACATCCACTGCAATTGTGCCATTATCCCCCTGTACATGATACTGAGCACCTGTGATCCAACGAAGCACCAACTGTCGGAGATGGTCAAGAACATCCGCAGCCTGAAGAGCAAGGATTTCAGAGCGGGGGATGGCGTCAAAGGCTCGTGAAATATCAAGGGCTACGGCGATACCCCCAACCAGCTCGGTACGCTTGTCTCCAGCTCGTCTGCGTTTTATGTTGAGGGCTTGAGTTATGCATAAGGCGCGCACTCTGTCGCAATGTTGGAAAGCTTTGGCCAGCGCGTCGGAGGCCTCCCGCCCAGGAAGAAAGCCCCATTTACCGTTCTGCATACGGAAGGATCTTTTGACGAAAAGCACGAAGCAAAGACTTCCCCACAGGATGTGGTAATCCGATGGGGCGCAAGTCAGCCGGCCCCCTGCACACCTTGCCAGGTTTTGGGAGCATGATCAGCCATGCGTCCTTGAAAGATTGCGGAATGAAAGGAGTTCTCCCTTGCCACCAATCATGGAGACGATTCGCAAGAATAGGAGCCAGTCTTGACGCAGCTTGTTTGTAAACAATATCCAGCGCCAGGCGTTTGGGTCCCGCCTTGCGAGCAGGTATGGCCTGCAGCCCCTCCAGGATTTCGTGGATCTCCAGTATCGGGCCCTGTCCGTGTGCATCCAGAAACGGGTCTTGGCTTGGCTAGTCATGATAGAGCTGACGCAAATATTGCGCTGTTGCTTCCGCCTCCTGTACTATGTCCAGAAGCACGCCCTCCGCACTGCGCATTTGTGGTTTCCCTCTACTTCTCTTAGGAGCGAGCCGATCCACAAGTTTAAATACCCCCGTTATATTGCGACTGTGGGCCTGACACCTAGCATAATTGAGGATACCGAGCAGCTGCAGTCTTCTCAGGCGTCGGCAACGCTTGCGGGTCGACTTGATGAGAACGCTGAAGCGGCGGATGTGTCGCCATGCCTGAAAAAGGTTGCGCAAACTCTTCTTCTTGCGGGATCTGGCCTGTCTCAGGTGTGCCCACGCCTGCTGGAAGACACCGCGTAATTCCCCATCTTGCCATGGTCTCGACACCCTGGCCTGGTGGCACTGCATGGCGTTGCTGAGCTTGAAGCAAGGCCTCATCAATGGAGCTGATGTCGTCAAGCCCCGGCTGTGTGGCCTGATCAAGATAGGAGGCAGCCACCTCGGAATTTGCACTGACACAGGTTGTCAGCTCCTTCCTGAGGCCCTTCGGCTTGCTTGGCGCGTGAAGAAATCCTCGCCAGGATAGGAGCATGATGTCCATCACCCCACGCAGCCAATAACGGAAGAAGATGTCATCCCTTGGCTTGCTTGCTCAGGCCACTAGCTGAGTCTTGGAGCCAGCACCTGAGAATGTAAAGGTTAAT